ATTTAGCAGTCCAAGCACCCTAAACAGTAGGTCACAGAGCACATACAAATCACAGAAGATTGTCAACTGCTGTTTGAAATGTTTTATCACTGTTAGCATGAAAAAAACTAATATCACCCAGTGAGACATAGAGACAGTATTAGGTGCTAAACGTTGTTTAATGTGAGATACAAGCTGATATTAAAAAAAAAAAAAACAAAAACCACACCACCAACAAAACCCAAAGAAAGAAACCAAAGGACGCTTTGCAAGAACAGATAGGCCTTCCCTTGCAAGAATGCATACAGAAGTTACACAATATATGGTGAATGGGACAAAGGCCATGCTGAGGAGCATCTCACAGAAACACAAAATCATTCAGTTTGGAAGGGACCACTTGAGATGATCTAGTCCAACTCCCCTGCTCAAGGAAGGTCAGCCAGAAGAGATTATTCAGGATCACATCCAGTCAGGTTTTAAACATCCCCAAGAATGGTGACTCCACAACTTCTCGGGCAACCTGTTCCAATGTTTGATCACCCTCGTTTGTTTTTGGTTTTGGTTTTTTTTTTTAAAAAAAAAAAAAGCATTCAGAGGGAACTTCATCTGTTTCAGTTTGTGCCCACTGCCTCTCGTCCAGCCAGCTGGGCATTAAGAGTCGTCTGGCTTTCCCCTCTTCAAGGCTCAGATCCCCCTGAGCTTTCTCTTTTCCTGGCTGAAGAGAGCTTCCCCATCTCACACAGTATCAGAGATACTCATTCTTAAATCATTTTTGTAGCTCTGCACTGCACTCCCTCCAGCAAGTCTGTAATGACTTGCACAAAAACAAAGCACTCCAGGTGTGTCCTCATCAGTGCTGAGTAGAGGGGAAGGATCACCTCCCTTGACCTGCTGGCACTGCTTTGCCCAATGCAGCCCAGAATGCTACCAGCCTTTTTTGAAGAAAGGGTGTATTGCTGCCTTGTGGTCAGCTTGTCCACCATGAACCCAAGAGCCTTCTCCGAAGAGCTGCTTTCCAGCTGGGTGGTCCCCCTGCATGTTACTGGTGCATGGGTTTATTTGTCCCTCGGTGCACAGGTCTTTGCAGTTCCCCTTGTTGAACTTCATGAGGTTCCCATTTCTCCTTCTTGTCAAGGTCCCTCTGGATGGCAGCACAACAATCTGGTCTATCAGCCACTCCTCCAGAGCACAATCTATCCCATCATTCAGGTCATCAATGGCAACATTGAACTGGATTGGCCCCAGTATTGATCTGTAGGGTACAGCACTTGTGTGACTCGACTCGAACTGGACTTTGTGCTTTTTTGACCCTTTGGGCCCAGTCATTTGGGCAGGTTTTAATTCACCCTCCCTGCCCAAATACCTAACACACACTTGCTCAGCTTGTCTATGATGTTTACCTTTACTTAGTAAAATCTTTGACACATCTACTGCTCTCCACTATCTATTGCTGTATCTACTAAATTAACATTGCTATGACACCAGGTAAATGAGTAAACTTACCCAGTCCTAAATATTTTGTGTCTCATAATCATTGTGCTGCTCTTCCTAAACTAGAGAGGTTACTCTTTAACAAGTCATAGGCTAGATTATAAGTTGCAACAACCTTCAGCATTAACTGTAATTTTACACCATGGCAATACTTCCTTCCTTCTCCACCCAAATAACCACTCCAGTGCAACTAAGAGTGCCGATAACTTCCTCAGAAGAGGAAGTTCCTGTTGCTCAGCCCTTTTAAGTTTTGTAATCTGCACAATCACATTAAGCAGCAGAAACTGTAAACTACAATCTCACAGCCTAAAACAGAACAAGAGACAAGTTTACCAGTTTAGCTACCATATTGCATGTCTTTACTATGATTAAGTGACTTGCTATACCCCACACAAACCATGTCAGTGCTGGAAACTGAGTTCAGAGTTCTAGGCCATATTCCCAAACTTTATGGAAGATCAGTATTTAGTTCTTTCAAGGGAACTTACCCATCTTGGATATTAGGAGAAATTTCGTCACAGGAAGAGTGGTCAAGCATTGGAACAGGCTGCCCAGAGAGGTGGTGGAGTCACCATCCCTGGAGGTGTTCAGAAAACAGGTAGACATGGCACTTTGGGACATAGTTTAGTGGGCATGGTGGTGTTGGGTTGATGGTTGGACTGATGATCTTAGAGGTCCTTTCCAACCTTAATGATCCCTAGTTTTTACTTTCATCAAAAAATAAACCAGCCACCAAGCCAGGAAACATGAAACTAATTATTACTCTACCCTTAACTGGTTTAGTGGTGGACTTGGTAGTGTTAGGTTAATGGTTGGACTTGACGATCTTAAAGGTCTTTTCCAACCTAAATGATTCTATGATCATGAAACTATGTTATCAGGAGACATTCAACTAAATAGAACAAGCATAAATTCAGTTGTATTCTACTCCTTTCCTCTGCCTCAAAAGCCATGAAGTCTTATGCTTTCAGGAGGTGCAGTCTATTTTGCTTTATTTCTTGAATAGTTCTTTCTAAATAGTTACAGACAATCCTCTTCTTCAGTTGTATACTTAACATCTACCTAGTTTGACAGCTTCATTTAAAGAATTAGACAAAACATGACCCATATGCCAAAATCCTTCGCTGTAGCACTTGTTTAAAAATCTTGGTAGAGTCAAAGAGCACAGTCCATGTAACCACACACTAAGAGTGGCATGCCTAGCCAGTGTAACTGAAAGGAAATTTACATTAACAAAGGAAGTGCAGAGGGTATCTCGCTCATTAAAAATTTCAAAAGTCAATATTGAACGGTATTTCAGTAGCAGGCAATATAGTTTAATATCTTGTAAGTGTGGCTAATTTGTATAGCACATCTGTTGTGCTATACAAATACAGTTTTAATAGCATGCAGTGTATAAGTCAAAAGGAACAACTAAAGCTATATTTTCCTACTTTGATGCTTGCACACACATTCTTTGGTAGCTTTCAGCACTGAGTTCTAGGCTTCTCAACTCCAAGAAACACAGTCACTTAGAAATGACATAGCATACACAGAAATAGTAAGAAAATAGGTTTTATTTTCAAATTTTATAGAAAAATGTTAACAATGCCTAAAGAACACAGCTGGACAGCAGCTTTCTGTATATGTTCCAGATAGAAACTCAGGCACTTAAATTAACAAACATTTTACTGTTACAAACCCAGCTATAATAACTATTTACGTTTTTCTACGATACTAAAAAGTGAACTTATGCCATTAAGATAACATGTAAAAATATTTTTACAAAACTTGTCCATATTTGCACCTTCCCAAGTGTATCTACAGTCAAAATCCCCAAGGCACTAGCTCCGATTATGTGCATATTAAAATAAGTCCATTTCAGACATCCACAGTTCCCTTTAATATACCAAGTTACTTGTTTTCTCCCACTACAATGTCACTTAGTTATTACTTTATAAGCACAGGGAAATGGGGCTCACAGCCCAGTTCAGCTCATTTTTCCTGTTTTTGATTGAAGTATTCCACCTCGTTTCACTTAAGTTACAAATTAGATATTTAAAATTAGATTGCAAATTTAAGTGTCACTTTTTTCGATATACACAATGGAATACTAAAAAGTATGTTTAGCAAGTTAGAGAACACTACACATTCAGAAAGTTGTTCAAGAATTGAATATGATCTTTTATATTTAGGTAATGGTGCACAAGAACTTTGGTACAAGTGTTATAGCAGTGCTTATTCTTATTGGCTTCTTTCAAAGCCCCCAACTTGCTCATGATTTATGTGTGTAGAGCAGATACCATTTCTGAATCCTTTTGTGACAGGGCTGGTGGAGGCTTATACAAACATACTGCCATGACCACAAAGATGATCGTGATGATTTTGCAAGCAGCACCTGAATGCAAAGAATAGAAGAGTTCTCATTGCAGTCACCTTCAATAGTAGACAAGAGTATTTCAGTCATTTATAAAGTTCCACATGGTGAGTTACACTGTAAGACTTTTAAATGGATGCTGTGAATGTCCATGTATTTTACATGAACTGCAAAGGGCAGGTAAAGGCAGTCTTCCAACTGACTTCAGACCCCTCACCTGCCTGCCAGTTCTTCCTTGCAGCAGCTACTGCCATTACTTCAGTTCTGTATTTCTTCACCCCATTCTAGCCTGAAGTACAAGTCTTCCTTCTTGTTTCAGTACTGTTCTTCATGCATCAATATTCTCTTTGCCACAAACTAAAACTCCCCATGTACAAGCCTGTTAAGTATTCTCTCCTCAGCTACCTTAAAAGCTTGTTCCATTTACTCATCACTGGTACATAGTGGTAGTTGTGCAACTTGGGGGGGCAAGGAGAGGGAGAAAAGAGGAGGGATTGTATGTTAATCACAAATATGCCTGAGATATACTGAAACCTGAAGTTGTGACTCCTGCTTTTTCAGTTTCAAGATTAGTTGTTAGCAGTTCAGTTTATGCACTGTAATTATCACAGTTGCTAGAAGACAGGATAACAGCAGTTATCACAGATGCAAGCTGAGCCTGCCTTTCCTCCCCCAGACATATGTACCTCACACACTTGAGGGGAGCAGATTGTTAAACAAGTTGGGAAAATTTTTGAAAATATCTCTGAACACTAGTCAAGATCTTGTTATTAATTTAGGGAAAAGAAGTGAAATATGACAAAAGGAAGAAAGCTCCTCTTAAGCTGCCAACTCACCAAGCCAGAAAAGACTGAAATGTGTGCCAAGCCCTTAAAATTCAGTAATTAAAGTGTGACAATAAAGAAAGACCGAAGAGCAAAACTACTTTGTATTACTGTTATTAAAAAAATTTTTCTAGGTCATTTTTAAGAGCCATTTAATGTCACCTTGCTTCTTCCATGGCATTTTGCTTTTTATTATTTATTAATTTATTAAAAAAACTAAACTTTATTTAATAAAACACTGCTGTAAAAATGAAAGTTTAAGATTCTATTTTAAAATAATTCCTATCTAGCAGTCAAGGTCAGTGTATCTATTACCTTGTACATGTACTTAATATGATGAAGTCACTTACTTATGCCCATCAGCAGATAAGCCATTCTTTCATTGTCATAAACCCAACAGGCTCCTTTAGTTTTACACTCATTAATATCCCACAGAGTACAACTGTTGTCTATAGCAATACCAAACAAAATTGGTCCAGGAATAGTACCTAAAAACCACAGAAACATGTTAGAACATTTGAGTTACTTGGCATAGTCTTACCTTGTCTTAATGCATATAGCAAAATGCCAAGCTGGTGGGTAAGATAAAATGGTATAGCCACACACTAAACATAACATTTTAATCAAAGTCATTGGGCTCATATTACATAGTAAGTGTGCCTCTTCCATTGCTCTCAGTTAATAGGTAGGATTCACAGAAGGGCAGTTAGTTCTTTATACAGCTCTCCGTTTATCAGGTAAGAAGTTTGTTCAAAGACTTAAACTTCTCATAACTTCCTCAGTTTTCATTGGAAAACAAAAGATTAAAATTAGGGGAAAAAGCAGCTAATCAAAGAAGCAGGATTTTAACTGAAGGAAAAGAAGTAATTTTCCTTAGATCACATACACTAACCTGTTCCAAAAGCAGAGAACTAAAAATATTATGTTAATATGTACAATTATACATTTTTTCCATCCCTCAGATGTAGCGAAGCTTCTAGGAAACATTTCATGTAAAATGAGTAGTGTTTAAAATTATTGCAGCACAGAATTTACTAGATGTGTGATTTTTTGTTACAACAGTGCTTTATAAACAAGAAGTGTTTTGCATCCAGGTATAGCCAATTTTATTATAAACACTCTAGATACGTCACTGCATGTATACCTATCCTACTCAAGGCCTAAACTGTTCTTGAGCTAACAGCAGCTATGTCCTCAATACAGCTCTTCTGTCTAGGACCCCTGTGTGATTCCTCAAGTCTAACAGCATAAATATCTTGTTGGTAGCAATGCTGTTAGTTGCTGCCTTCTTCAGCTGCAGGCAGTACAGGCAGTGCAAAAAGTTCTCCTATCCTCTGCTCCACAGTGCAGTCAAGAGTTAAGACTCTGCCACAGACATCTTAACTTTGAGTAAAATGAAACCAAGAAGCTCTCATACACCACTTAACACTACCTCCCAGCTAATTTCTACCTGTGAGGATGTTTACTCTTGTTATGCTTTACTGCTAGAATGACTTAGATTAATTGGAGTTTCAACAGGTACAGACCTCACATTGCTAGATATTTGCTCTGACATGGTAGGGAATGGCTGCAGAACTAAACATTGACATAAAAGTTTACTCAGTAACTGAGCCTTGACCCAGTCTTGAATTACACATGACATTTAAGGAGTGTCGAAAACAAAAACAAGAATTTAAAATGTGCCTGAGAAAATTCAAATGAATGGTTCAGAGAACACCTACATTTAACTTTATGTTTTATTTAGGGTGATTGACCTGTCTTACTGAGATCCTAGAGATGCTTAGATTTAGAATTCAAGTAGTAGACTTCCCACATAAAAATTCAGTAATTTATATGCAAGTGTCTACAATTTCAATAAAAGCTAAAATTAGTCAACAGAATTGAAAGGGAATGAAGAAGACAGAAGACTCCACCTATCCACTTAAAATATACTGGTATGGCCACTAAGGATACAACTGTATGAGACAGTGCCACTTTCTTTTAATTTCTGGAACTTGAGATCTTAACTACATTAAGCTGTTTTGTATTACACTTTTTCTTATCTCAACTTTCAGAATAGGCTTCATTCTGGGGGAAGTGACAGCAGGTGCCTTTTGCTGAAAAAATGACAGTTGCCTGTATTTTGTTCATGCCGGTAAGTACAAGAAAGACTACAATGAGCACGCAAGCCCTATATAAAGAGGAATTTGAGTCTAGCTGGCATCTGTCTTATAACAAGTGTTTTCTATAAGCCAATGACAGGGTGCTTCAAGCTCATCTGAAAGCTTCTTAATGCATTATTTTTTAAGTCTAGAAAAACATCAAGTAAGTAGATTGTTCAGAGGCAAGTGTTTCAACAAGTCATACCCAGTAGTCGTAGAAACACTGACTGTACTCCAAGAGCAAATGAGCGCTGTTTATCTGGCACACACCTGTAAACAAGATTTGCAGTTTGAGACTTGGTAAACAAGTTTTAACTGTTCCATTTCTCTGCTTTGTCCCTCAGTGAATATGCTTTGTCTTAATATACTCTTTTAACCTGTTAATTGCAGAGGGTTTTAGAAATCCAGTGTGCAGAACAAGTAACCAAAGAACTTCAAGAGGTGTTTTGACAAAAGATAGAAGCACCTCCTATAGCTCATCAAGGAATTTTAGACTGAATTAGTTTAACAAAACAGTACAAAAAGTTAGCTTACCAGCAGCACCCTGATACACTGTTCAACACTTTTTCCACAGAACCACTGAGGATTTAAGGACAGTGCTAGAATGCAATCCTGAGCTACTATTCCTAAAGCAGCAATACATGAATTGAGACTAGGCTTCAGCACAGCACAAGCCATTGCATTTCCCATAACCTTTACATATAGTCACCTGACCTTACAATTAATCAGTTCTGGCCTATGCTATACAAATCAATATATTGATTTAACAACTAGCAGAATTTACCTCCTTACCTCCTACGCATTTCTTTCAGATACTTCTCTAGCAACAAACATTTTATCCTGACAGTGTCTTAAAGATCCTACCATAAAGATTAAATACAACCTAACTTACCTAATTTATACAATCTAGTTTCAGCACTGTTTTCTTCAATAAACTGTATCATTGAAGCACTGTCAGTGCTAAAAAAGACAGTATTTAAATATTCAGGAGTTACTCCCTCATTCTGGAGTATCTATTAGGATTAGCCATAGAAAAAGATCCAAGATGCACAGTTATCAGCAGTCACTGTTAGGATCCCCCTATCCATAAAGGCAAGTAAAGGAAGGAAATTGAGTTTTGCATAGTGTGGGTGGTTATTTCTAGCACTAGAACACTGTCAAGAACACGTGGGTTTACACTTGAAATTGCATGAAATAGGCTCACTGAAGAGATACTAGAATACACTGTAGCAACTTACCTCACATTTATCATTTTTTTGCACATTTAAACTGCTTTACAGTCGTCTCTTCCATAAAAACTGTTTCAGCATTTCAGTTGAAGTGTACAAGGATTCAAGATTCCAAATGTTATTGCTTAGAATTATCTAAATAAAACTATGTCAGCTCAGTTTTGAAGATAATGCAACACTTCACATGATTCTGCCACCATACTAATATGACAAGCTATTAATTCCAGATTTATACCAACCCTGAACAGGAGGCTACTACAAAGCATTGTTGCAGTGTATCACTCCCCTCCCCAACCCCCTGCCTAGAATATTGGAAAAAGAGCATCTAACCACACCCTTCCAAAACATCCTGTGTATAGTACATTATGCCTATGCATCATGAACATTTTCTCTCTAGAAGTATTAGAGGTACAAGTCAGATTTCAACATAAAGTAAAACACCTCTACTTTCAGAATGACACCACATATTAAAAAAATTTATCTAGCTTTCACGCATGAGTCTCAGTGATTTGAAAGACAGTCAAACCACTGGTTAACAGCCACATACATGCTGTCACATTTTATATTAATGACTACCATACATACAATATCAGTATCATATGAACGGTAGTCTGCAGTTCTTGGCAGACCACAGTTTTGCAAGTCAGAACTCTGAACTGAAACAGGAATCAAAGGTTGAGAATGAGACTGATTGCTATTTTGTTCTTCTAGGTACAGTCTGAAATCCTGGCACTACTGATACACAGGCTAGTTGAGTATTTTCTTCAACCAAGCACACAACACATTTATTCCTTCTTGCTTTGACTAAAACAATCAGGAGTGCTCCCGCAGAAGAGGGGTTTTGCTACAAGCAGGAAAGTTTTGGGTTGTTTTTTTTTTTAATAGATTCAAACAGTATCTACTAACCAAATGTAATTACAGAGATAGCAAACAGTGGTATGACTGTTCTCTGCTTCAAGTACTGCCTGCTTACTACACAAAGTACTGTAACAGGAAATCCCTTGCACATTAGTTTAAGTCCACGTTCCAAAACAAAACAAATTAGAGTATTTCACCAATGTGAGTTTTCACAAGAACAGTACCCACTTCTCAGCCCAAAAAACTTACCTGAGAATGGCCACAGTTGTTGGAGTAACAGCCATAAATGTAAAAACAACAGCAAAAAAGAAGAAGGTCAGGAATAAAGGTAAAAATTTGCATTGTGTTGGACATTTCCCAGGGACGGCTTCATAAAGAAAGTCTTCCGAACCATTTTCTCTTTTTGGTTTCCCAATACAGGAACAGTTGTGGTACATCTACAATTAATTTATAAAACAAAATTCAGCTGTAAGAATGACACTAAGTGACACTAATATGATAGATGTTCATTGGGTCTGCATCTCACTGAATACAAGAATAAACCCTGACTTTACAGTATGGGAAACAGTACATTTCCTGATAATCATATGGCACTGTAACTCTCATTTTCAAAACAGATTCAGCAGAACTTGACTGATCCAGCTCACCTGAGCAAAAGTTATTTTTGGTTTTGTGATCTAAAAAGACAGTGATAGTCTCCATTTTGTGTGGAGCAAGTTTTTAGGTACAAACATTAAAAAACCCTTAAAACTAAGGAAAATTTTATAGTCAAAGGAACGACATATGCAGTACACAATATTACATAAAAACACCAACAGAGTAAGCCTTTAAATGCTAACTTTTGCACTCAAATCTTATTATGAATGAGTGAACATAACACCAATTACTGTATACAATTAAGAAAGGGCAAGCTATATTGTTCAAAACAAGATTTTTTTATATCTATATATATAAAAAAAACTTTCAAACAAGTCACCTCTTTGAAAACATGAAACACCATGGAGGGTGTCAAGGGTTAGAGGAAGGAAAGAAATGTCCTTTTTCTATTTCTCTACATGAGTCTGGTTTCATTTGCAAAGTGTAACTGCTCAACAAAGGGTACCCAAAAGCTTCAGTTCCCTTACAGCAGATGGTATCTTACATGGTTCTCAAAAGTAGTTTTCCCAATACTGAAACAAGCTAATGTGAACTCTTACCTAGTTTATTAACCAAACCTGCTGATTATTTCTGTACAATTCAGAAGTCTCCAAAGAACTTTAACTCTGTTGACTACTTCAAACTGTATCTTTAAACAGGGTTCATTCTTTTGTTTCACATCTACTTGCACCACTATTTCCTCAAGCCTTATTCTTCAAGCTCAGACAATACACATCCAGTTACAATTGTAGCAGAACAAACTGGAAACCACAACAGTTCACATTTTTCAGAGATGTTGGCAAGTCCCAGATCACCTAGCTTGACAGTCTTGGCTATAAACCAGGCTGTTTTTTACACTAGTCTGTACTTGACAGAGAGGTGAACTGTACTATTAAGACTTAAGCAGGAAACAGAAGCAGTGTTGGACATTTTTTTGTAAGCAGGTGAACAAACTGAATAGTTTTATGCTCTTCATCTAAATCCACACAAGTTTGTTTTCAAAGAAAAAAAATAATATATGTCAGTGAAGTGTGAAGCTTTCACAACAAAAAGTTGTCAGTCTCCTACATTTTCTTCTAGATAATACCTCCTCTCATTTGCTATTGTTCTTTTCTGATATATAAAGTCCCCAGAGGCACCCCCTGGTTCAGCTTGCTTTCCTTAGGATCTTCCTACACTCCTCCCACACCCCTGCTCAAGAGTTTGTTGTACTAGTAGAGACAAGCACAGAAAGTCTCTCAGTTCTGGGAAGGCTCAATAATAACCAGCCACTTTCATGGCTTACCATTCCTACATCAGGCACAACTGACATTTGAGGTTTGGAAACACAGAAGCAGGCTGCCATGCATACAATAAACATTATATTATGCTTAAAGATCTAGATAAGAACAGTGGCCAATTTCTGCTTCTCTGATTGTCAGTTCTGTTTAAAGTACGTTCCAGTTTCATGTATTTTCAGCATTAGAAAGTTTAGTAGATGTAACATTCACAACATAACATGCACAGTGAGAAACATACTGTGACTGACCAATAAACACCTACAATGGAAGAAGGCTCAGAGGAGATTAGAAACGGTGATGTGCCCATAAAGCTCATGGAACAATGCAGGCTGCGAGTGACCACAGCCATTGCAAAGAAAGCTATGCAGAAAAGAAACAGTTTTGTCAGTTGAGCAGATCAACTGGTTGTGTAAATGTTTTTTCCTGAGTTCATTAAGAGAGTGTGAAAGTCTCCCTAGGTTAGCCAGACCAGCATGGGAGAGTGGGGCTCAGTCTACCACAGAGTATAAAAAGCCAGACAAGTAGCAGAAGAGTTTCAAAGAGAGCAATGGGTTCGAGCTGGCTTCAACCCATGTATGCCTTCCCAACAACTGGGGAGGCCCAGCATCATGATGGTGAGCGTGTGAGAGACCAGTAATGGGAATCATACTGCTATTGTGACTGAACTGCGTATTGCAATTGCTATATGTTGCTAAGCATAACTTACAAAATATACTGAAAATACAATACAAACATATCACTGCTAAATCACAAATCTTGTGTAACATCAACTAGCATCAAATAAGTAAGTTTGACATTAAACATTACACCTCCATAAGTGTAATATCTAAAAGGACCTAGTCAGAGAGTATTGGACTCTGACACATACCAACATTCATCCTACTTAGACATGTATTTCCAATCCACACCAACCTTCCTGGAGTAACTAACACCTAGATTCAGATATACTGTGGTTTCCTGTCATGCTAAGGGAATAAAGTTTTTGACATAGAATGCATTTTGCAGGAAACCAGAACAGACCATGTCAGCTGTCTTCAGAGCATAAAGTACCTTTTTCACGTTGTTAAAAAGCTGTGATGCACATCCTGCGAAACAGGGAGAAAAGTACTGGACTTCATCTCTGCCACAAACTGGGTAGTACATAGAGTGCAAACACCTGCAGTCAGCATTGCATGGTGCTGTTAAGTTATATAGCATGCCTGTTCTGAAAGGTAAAAGTTAATAGGCTTTTAATAAAGCAATTTAAAACCAGCAGATATGTAAATAAGTAATGCAGTATTTATAGGATAATAAATCTCAAAATAATCAATTCAGGTGATTTATGCACTTAATTGTTTAAAAATAAGCCACGTTCCTAGTAGTTACAACTATTTACTCTGTACATTTTTGTGCTATTATTTTTGTTTTATTATTTTATATATTTTATTATTTTA